ATTTTATTAGACATATTTACAGCAGAGCAAAAGAAAAGGTCAGGTTTTTTGACAGTACCAAGATGGAAAATATCATGCGATTATATGTATAGCAACAGGCTTACTACACTTTCAAAACAAAACAACCCCTCACAAAAAACGACAATAACACAGGAGAACTCTAAATGGTCAGAAATTGGTCTCTCCTCAAGGCTACCTTTCTATTTAATTTCCTGAATTAAAGAATTTGCAATGATCTCGCTTAACTATTACTAGGACTTGGCTCCTGGGAGGGTGCACTGTAAAAGCATCCTGTTTGGAGAATTTGTTTCTGAAATCACCCCCTCACATCTTCTACCTACAGTTAGAAAATCCTTGCAGTCATGGGGTTGGGAGCTCTCTCTCTCACTTCCAAGTCCACAAGGCTCGTAACAGAAAGGAGATGTCAGGCTTTTAACATCATTAAGGAGAAATGCAAAGGCTAAAACTAAACATGAACTTATTTCTATAGTTAACCCTCTGCCCAGCGGCCTGTTATACTCCGAAGTTGCCATCTTACCCATTTGATTTTTCTGTGCTTAGTACATACCTTACTTTGCATTTTTCTTTTCCACTCACAGCTTTTTAAGGATCACTTCAAAACTGTATCTTATATTTTACCAACCTCACCTCTTCATCATTAACCTTTTATAAAACACCAAAACCCCAATTTCTTGCTTCACTTCCCAGGTGCAAGGAAATCTTCAACCATCCCAGACAAATGGGAAACTAACAGATGTAGTAACTCAAGACTTAGCCAACCCAACCCTCAGCCATCTTCAGTGCTGCAATTATTATGTCCACAGTAGTTGTTGTCTACAGACTTAGCCAAATTTATCATGGTTCTGTCCTCTGTGCTCTTTCTTTACCACTTTCCACTGTCTGGATTTAAGGAGCAGAAGCCCTTAAAGCACAATTACCTCTGAGCCAACCAGCCAGGGTGATGGAGCAATAATGTGACCTCCACATTTTGTCCCTTACAAACACGTACTCCACAGACTGAGTTCATGAATTCCACTTTCTTTGGCTCGAGGCCTGGAAACTTGAGCCTTTAGCAAGTGCCAAACCTCCTACTGAGAGCAAAATTAACCTCAGCCTACAGGTCAGAGCAGTCTGATTTCCCTGTATTTTGCAAAGTTTTGCTTTAAGGATATGAGGTTAATGAAGTTGTCTGGGTAGAGGCATCTGAGACCACTTGTTACATATTCTAGTTCTGAAAGTTGTTTGGTTTTGGGTTGGGTTATGCAATCTAACAACAGTCCCTCTTACACTTACTGTTGCAACCTCCTCCCTAACCACACATAACCTCCGATTAAATATTTGACAGTAGTTTAAATTAACCAATTAATTTAAACCTTCTTCACGACAACGGCAGCAGATGTAAGATTAATAACACAGTTGCCTTAAGGATTTGTAAAGATCTCAGCTTCCCTTTGCTTTCACATTAAATGGTAAAATTGTAGTTTAATGTATCAATCAGTAAAATCAATAGTACCTTTGAATTTACACAGATCACTAGCATGTCTCTTCTATCTTTTGGGACCCAGTCCTCAAGAGATTAGCAAAAGACCACGTTTGCATCATCCCTTCCCTTCATGGTATCCATGGACCTTCCTGTTCCTTTGTTTTACAGCTTCCACACTCCACTCCCCAATTATTTGCGTGGTTTTAGCACCCACTTCCAACTACTTCTTAGTCCTTTCTACAAAACCACCTACACAACCATAAGCAATCGGGGGCACTTTTACAGTTTAACTCTGCTAAACGAATACCAGTTAGTTAATATTTAGTAAGGAAGCTCGCTAGTACTGAAGACAAAAACCTGCTCTACATCCTTTAAACTTTTAATGGAAGAAACACGGCATAATTAAAAAAGAAACATTAAAAGAGAAGAATATGGTATAATCACTTCCGTAACAGGAAAAAGGTTATCCTCTATTCAAGTATTTAGAAAGGCCAACAGCACAAACCTCTGCTTCTGCACCATCATTTTATTTCTCTTTACTACCTACTTCAAAAACACAGTTTGCATTGTGTAGTCAGACAGAGAAAAACATACATGAAAGTTACATTGAGATTAACTTGCTTCTATCCTCAGCCAGACAGGGCAGGATGTACACTGTACTTTTGAGCATGAGCCTAAAAGGAAAATGACTGGTTTACTGCTTGGCCAATTTCACAACAGCTGTAATGAAAACCCCACAAATTTTCTTCCATCTTAAAATAGGAATTTTCCACAGAAAACCTCTGCTCTGTATCTAGATCAACTTCCCCCCTACCTCCAAAACACCAACACAGATTTTTATAATGCTTGCCTGACCGTAAGACAGGTCCTCTGTACTGAGAGAAATCTACACTGATTTGCATAGGTCATCTAACAATATAGGACAATGTCAAAATATACTCAATATGAAAATGCCTGCTGCAACTTTGAAAAAAACCCAAATAACTCAAAAATGCTTGAACAGAGCAAGAAGGTCACTTCAGTAAGTTAATATTCACACCTTCTAAAGTCTGTAAGCCAAACTTATTAATGCACACTGTTCTAAAGAAGAATTCACAAGAAGCAAATGAATACTGAGACTATATGACCCTCTAACCTGTGCAGAGTTTATCCAGCACCTGATCGGTTTCCTGGTCAAGATCTCAAATGCAGCAGTATCAAAAGAACAGAGCAGCAAAAAAATCCCAAAACGTTCTGGCACTTCCACAGCTCCTATCCACAGGCTTGGAGGTATCAATGAAATGGGAAAGTGAGACAAAGCTCACGCATCCACTTTGAAAAGCCATCGGCAATCAGAGATTTTTACCCAGAAGCAAAGTGTGCATCAGCTCCTTACTGCATCAGCTAGGGGACTGAAGATAAAAACCAAAAGGAGAAAGACTGACTTTCTAAGGGTTGACCACCACTGCCACCAATCCACTTACTGCGGGATCCAACTGCCATGTTTAGCTCACCACATACTGGGCCTTCAGTTGAATCTCCAAGATTCATATTTGTCTGAATACAGGAGAAATTCTAGGTAAGTTAGAGAAGCACAGCATAAAAAGGAATTGATTTTGTTAGGAAAGAGTGTAAATCAAAAAAAGAAACTGCATAGAGAACAAACTACCACTGCAAATAATGCAATCAGTAACTGTGGGTGGCAAGAGTGAGAAAAGGAGCAAGCATTGAAGAAAGTACAGCAGAAATAATGCTGAGACACAATGCATAAGAAACTACATGGAATGAGGTAAAAAGCAAAAAAGATCAATTTATGTCTACTGTCTTTTTTGACTAAGCTCTCTGAGCAAAAAAATACCAGTTTTCAGAGTATGCTACCAAAACAGCAAATAGCAGGCAAAAGACTGATGCAAGAAGCCAGCCTGTCCAACAAGCCTGAAGAAACACAGTTTGTTCAGGGACTAGACTGAATAACACAATGCTCCCAGGCCTCTCTAGGTTACAACCAAGAGAACAAGAAATGTTCTTCTGTATTAGTCAGTGAAGTGGTGGTGCTGGGCTGCCGCATGCACTCTGGAAACGGCTTCTGTCAGATGTGTGCTGCTATGATAAGAATCTGCAATAAAAACCAGGCAACCACACGTCACAGACTAAACCAGAGTACTCATGAGAACACAACCATTGCTGTTATCAATTACAAACAGTACTGTATTTTGGTGGTGGAAACAGTCTTACCTGAAGAGGTATCACATCCCCTATCCATATCCTGATCAGCCATTAGATTTATAATATAAAGGTGAACGACAAAATGCCACAAATTGTTAGTGTACTGAAGAATAAATAAAGACAGAGTGCTGCAGACATCCCCAACATGGAAATGAAATTCATTACGCAGCTAGTTTCAGAATCTCTGACCTCCTACATGGAGATTAAACACATCACATGCCACAGATAAATATACTGAGCACAACCTGAATTAGCTTTAAAAGTTAAAAGAGAAAAAAAGGTATTTCTTCTTAGTACATCCTTCCATCCTGCAGTGGAAGCAGGAGCACTTAATGGTTACCCCAAATCATTCCTTTTGGCTTAAATTTAAAATAAATATCCTGTGGAGTATCACAAATCTGAGTAAAACATTACTTACAGATTCACTGCTTGTGAACAAGTCCATAATCAACACACCTACCAAAAACTGGACAGGTATCATAGGTGTACATACACACCTAACTCCAAACCTGTGCTGTACTAGAGTCCAGCACATATAGTCAAATACTCAACATAACAGCTACAAATGGTTTTTAAATACTATTACTTATGTTTATGGCACAGTCAGAAAGACTTTTTTTAATACATGGTGTGGACCACAGCCAATGTTTTCACTTTTCTACTCTCAAACGCACATTGATGCCTTTGGCACCATTTTATTTTCTTTTAATCTTTTTTGGAAATATTACAGGAATGTTAAGGATCTTCCACATTTAAGCTAATCGAGTCTTTTATAGAACCTTTTTTACATTGCAGGGAAACCCCAAAGAACAAGGGGAACCAAAACACATGAGCAAAAATCACCAAGTCAAATAACCCAGGAAAGTTAATTTAAAAATGAGGAAACCATATTTGTAGAAGTAAAACCACTGAACTAGTTAGATACGAAGAGGACAAACATTCAAACGTTTATTCAGCCCACAATACAGATGGAAATAAGCTCTTTAGAGTTGGCTTGTTTGGGGTTTTTTTAAGTGGATCTACCATACCAAATATATTCCTAACTTTACCCTCTCTTAACTGACAGATGTACACTGTTACGTATCCACACTCAGATGACTTCTAGAAAACAGCCTTTAAAGTTATAATATACATAGTCTGCTTTTCCTCATTTATTTAAGGTAGCTGCTACTAGAGTGAGCCAGGGACACTCCAACCATCCTTAGAAATGACAGTCATTCATTACATAGTCAGCAGAACTTAGTCAAGGTAGCTCTGTGCATGCACACATGCACAAACATTAACATATTTAATACTAAATTATGAAACTTACTTTCGTCCATCTGCAGGTCGTTTCCGGCCTCCTGGCAGATCCTGTAAGCTATCTTTCCCAGTATTATTTAAGATGGCATCATCTTTATTTACAGAATCCTCTTTTATTCTAGCTGTAGAACAGATAGGCTCTTCAATTTTCGGGCTCTTTGCCTGCATGTCCTCCAGAAGTGTATTTGTGTTCTGTAAATCCTTTTCACATCTGTTGGGTTCATCTTGGAAGGTAGATGGTTTAGATTCTACCAAAGAAGATCTTGTGGCAATATTAAATAAGCTCCCAAGAAAATGAAAGAAACCTTCTCGGGGTTGCTTGTCTTTATCCGCTGTTTTGATTCCAGGAATCAAACTGGGAAGGCTATTAGCCTTTTTCAGCTCCTCCTGGATTTCAGACTTGCTAAGTTCTTCAGTGGAATGGTTCTTCTCTTCATTTTGACGAACCTAAGATAAATACAAGAGGCACATAAAGATGATGTTTTCTGTCATTTTCCCACATTCCCAAATTCCTTAACTTTAACTTTCTCCTATGCATTGTATTTCTTTCAGATCTGTTGTTTAAAGGTTCATTTTCAGAACAAAGCCCTGTTCTCTCTTCTCTTTTTGTTCTAAAAAGGTCCTTATTCTACAAAAAGTCAAGAGGATGGCATAGGCTAGAAGATTCAAGAAGCAGCTGCTGTGGAAGTAAAATACAGAAGGACAGATGGAGAACAATTGGTTCAACTGGCAGGAAAACTGAGAGAGAAGGAATAAATTTTCACACTTCAGACTCTAATCTGCTCAAAAAGCACAGTTTCACAAACAAATCTGTATGTGCTTGTGAGATGAACAGTTTTCAGCTTGCAAATATATGCAAGAACATGACAGCAAAACACAAACATGCCATAGCCTCAAACACAGGCTAACCTGCACTTGCAAAAAAACCCAGGGGAATTAAGGACAGAATCTGGATACAAAAACCTCAACTCATGTGCCAAAGATTAATCCTACCTGCTCACTGCCATGTTGCACCCTTTAGCCAGATTTTCTTCAACATCATAGACAATTAACCACACAGCTTTATTTCCAAATCTATCTGTAGTCTCACACAGGTCCGTAGTCTACCATCCTCAAACTGTAGAGTTTCCATACAGCCAAAGCCCTACCCCACTGTCCCTGCACCCAGAACCTTCTGAACTACCCATCAGCTCTGCCAGCTAACTGCAAATAATTAAGGCAGGGCTTCACCTCATTTCAATCACCTGCTAATTTCTTCCCACAACTCAGCTGAGCGCCTACCCCAAGGGACAACACAAGCTCTGTTCCTCACCAATTTACACCCTTGATTCTCTTCAGTTTCTCTTACAGATCCAAGAACCACTGCCCAAGCCCATCCAACTTCTGCCACCACCATCTGCCCCTAAAGATGATGCAACTTCACTGGTAGGCTTCACAAACACCACATGTAACCATGTTTTCAGCTTCACAATTTGCAAATGCTCTTTCCCTGGACTAAGATGTTCTGGGAAATACCTTCCCCCTGATCCTCATCCTTTTTGGTGGGTGCCATATGATATTGCTGCCTATTTTATCTCTCCAGTAAAATCTTTGTAATTTCAATCCCTGTTTCAACCCAGTTTACTAAAGCAGAACAAAGTTACCCCTGCTTTTCTTAAATTAAATCTGTTCTGCTCAGAAGGAGCGCATGAACAAAAAGTCCTATCCAAATTTCAGTTGTGTCAACAATATCTTTGGGTAAGAGTAATTGGTTTGAATTGGGTAACACCTACCCATCTAATCTCAGCAGAATGCTACTATTTTCATTAGGTCATTAATCCTATTTCAACTTGATTTGTTAATAGTCCATCCAGGACCATGTTAATGATGAAAAAAGTGTCTTAATGAACACAGTATAATTCTTTGGGAACAGCAATTTCTTAAAAACTTGCAAGTTACACTTAGTGATGCTGGAGCATTGCTCTTTAATCTTCAAGAAATAACTTTTTCACCTTTTTAATACAAACAGCAGGTACAATTTCTTAATATTAAGTGATCAGATGTATGTGTTGAAAATGGAGCTGTTTATGTGAGAGTAGAAATTGAATGAATGGCACTAATTTGTCCTTAAGAAATCCATACAATCTGTTTTCTTCAGAGGCAAGACACTTAACCACATTAGACTTTTAAGTAAGCTTCCTAAAGCAGGTCGAGGCAAACTCTAGCATTTTTTCATCTCACCTGCTTCCCCCACATGCTGCACTAATCATTAGTGGATGGGTCAGCAAAGGGATGTAGGTAGGCATGCCTGTTGTATTCAAGGATTTACCACTTTACAAGTCACCCCTACCCAAACCCACTCGAGAAATGAAAACAACAATGCAGCTTACAGATGCACCACACTACAAGCTGGTATTTTCAGAATTAGGCAAACTATGCAAGTAACATGCAAACCTCGGATGAATCTCTTGAACAATTAACTTTATGTCATAGGAATTAAGTACTTTGCATGAGGAAATGCAAAACAGAAACAAGGGTTGCAGCACTTGCAGTATGGTGTACAGTCCTTGTGTCCTCAACATAAGAATATGGAGCTGTTGGAGCAAGTCCAGAGGAGGCCACGAGGATGATTAGGGGTTGGAGCACTTCCCAAATAAAGACAGGCTGAGAAAGCTGGGGTTGTTCAGCCTGGAGAAGAGAAGCTACGTGGAGAACTCATAGCAGATTCCAGTATCTGAAAGGGGCCTACAAGGATGCTGGAGAGGAACTCTTCATCAGGGATGGTAGCAATAGGGCAAGGGGTGATGGGTTCGAACTTAAACTGGGGAAGTCCCAGTTAGATATAAGCAAGAAGTTCCTCTCTGTGATGGTGGTGAGGTGCTGGAAAAGATTGCCCAAATAAGTGATAAATGTTCCATCCCTGGCAGTGTTCAAGGCCAGGCTGGACGGAGTCTTGAGTGACATGGTTTAGCATGTGGCGTCCCTGCCCATGGCAGGGGGTTTGGAACTGGATGATCTTAAGGTCCTTTCCAACCCAAACCATTCTATGATTCTATGATTCACCTTCAAAGTTCTACTGTCACAGTTTCTTCTTTTACTTTAATACCTCAGCATTCTTCAATATCAGGTTTTGATACAACTTCTAGTGAGGGAGGGCAATTCTCCCTTGTACTGTGATTGGCATCATTCACTCAAATTTGTCAATTTAAAAGCATATCTCAGTGCAAGAAGTGCACACAAATCTCATTATTTTCCCTGCAGATAAAACCATTATAGGCTATAAGCTTTTACATTAACTACTATGGTATCTATGAATTTAACAGCTAAATGCTGTTAATAATAGTTATAACAGTTAAATGCTACAAAAGAAAACATTAAAAACTTGACAAAGTTTAGCACCTTTTTGTTATTACTTGTTTGTTATTTTTTCTAAAGTAATTTGTATTCAGGAACTAATGTGGGGGCTTTTTTTCCTACAGATAACTAAGACTTCAAACACGGCCACATCTCTACATGTGAAATGCTTCCCCTAGCATCTCCGAGACTTAATGCTTGTGAAGCCTGTGCTTCTTATTTGTAAATGTAATTCATGCCCTGCATGAAAAGCTGTTTTGTAGTCTCTGTTTCCAGAAACAGAAATCTATTTAGACTTTCCTTCCCCTTTAATCTTTTTTTCCTTACTTATCTTTTGGTAAATCAAAAGAACAGGATGTTTTAAATGAAAGGGTCCTTCCCTACCTTTAACCATAAATAGTCTCTTGCATAAAAAAAAAAGCCCTGGAGAACATTTATACTGTGCTAACTTGAAGATACATGCGGATATTAAGTCCCAACACAGAAACTATGCAAATCCTTCTTTCTTCCCTCCAATATAATCAATCCTATTCTCCATATACTCTCTCTTCTGCTTCACTTTGCCTTTGCAACAAAAGACAGCATGAGCTATTGGTGCTTTTAACATTTGCCCATAAAAGCTCAATTCAAACTTTGAACATTTGAACTGTTCACACTACAGATTCCTAAGTCTGCACTTCAAGCTAAAGCCAAGTTCAAATTACTGTCAGAAAAGCACATGAGCTGTAAAGCCAGCAAGCCCTTAGCACAGCAAGAGCCTTCAGGCACCAGTGCCTGACATGCAGCAGTATGATGGCAATTCCACGAGGCAGTATCATGACAACTTTCACTTATTTCGCTTATTATTTCCCATGCCTTTCTCTGAGCTTGCTGCTGACAGAAACCCCCAGCAAATGCTCAAGAAAAAAAGATGAGGGGGTATACACAAAGTAACCCATTCCCTGGTAAATCCCACCAGTTTTCAACAGTCAGGGCCTTTAGCTGACCTCAACAGAGCAACTGCATCTGTGCTGCACTTAGGCTTAAGCACTTTGATATTCACAACACCAGTGACTCTTGTATTAGTTATACTTCATGTCATCAGTTAAGAAAATAAGGTTTACAAAAGGAAAAGTCCTCTCCAGTGTCAGAGCAGTATCAATAGTTTCTCAGGCTTACCACACAAACAACACTTTCTGACTGAAAACCTACCTGCCACATCCCCTTTGGGATCCTTGCTGGTGCAAATACAAGTTGTCCTGCCATAGTGTTGTCTTCCTGCTCCTTTTGCATACAGTCATCAGTCTTTCCCTTACCTCCCCGTCCCCACTCTGCATGAGCTTTCCTGCTTGTGACATGTTTCATAAAGCTTTAATTAGCTTTTACTCTTTTAGCAGCTAGTTACTGAAAAGTCTCACTGGGCAAGCCCTGGGTAACCTTGCCTGACCTTCCAGCTGAGCCTGCTTCAAGCAGGAGGTTGGGCGACATGACATCCTGGGCTTCTTTCAACCTGAATTATCTTATGGTCCTGTGGCCTCACATGCAATGAGGCTGGTGTAGAAGGGAAGCTCAGCAGAGCATGAAACAAGATTATGACTTCAATTAGGTGACTGAAGACACTGCAGCAGTAACTGAACCTGCATCTACTGTGCAGTCAAGTTGTGCCAGCTCACCTTTCTGGAGCAACCGCTGCAGAGTGCCTGGCAGCCAGGACTCATACGATGTCATGTCTCAAGCATGACTCTCATGTGAGCTAATGTACTCAGTGGCAGACTAGGTATGTTTTCCAGGCTGTAATACACTCCTGACTAGCACAGACATACGCCTAAAGGCTAACTGTACCTACGCAATCGGGGGGACAGGGCTTGCTACCAGTGTGTGCCCCCCAAAGTACAAAGAGCAGCTCCAGCAGCGCAACAGCACCCTGAAGAGGGATTGCCTTGCCAGGTTTGCCTTGCCTCCTGTATCAGTTGAGAACAGCCACCCTGGAAGCTGGCATCTCTCAGCAGTCGGGTGGCAGAAGTTCAAATTGCCAGAGGTTCTCATTCAGCAGGAGTTACGTCTGTCTGCCAAGAATACAATCTCTTTTATTGCCCTAACAAGTGAATGAAATGAAAACATTAACAGCATTAAAA